TAGGTGACTGTGGTTTGAGTCCCTGACCTCGTGGCTTAAAATTCACACCAGGCTCATGTGCATGTGTGCCCAAAATCCCAAGAGGAGAATAGAGGAGAAATAAATTATTAAATAAATTGAGACATTTTCTCAGATTAAAAGGAATTGCAGAAGATCTTACAGTGAACAAAAAAAGTTCCACACTGAGGGGCACCATTATGGACTTTTGGCATATCAAGGATAAAGCAAAGACCCTAAACTCTTCCTCAAAGGGAAAAACAAGTCAGATGCAAAGAGTTAAGATTCAGAACATCATTAGACTTCACTACACATCACTGAATACTGGACAACAATGCTGTCAAGTCTCTGAGGGAAATTGTAACCTATGGTTTTATAGCCAGCCCAACTAGCAACCCAATATGAGAGTTTGCAACATACATACTTAAACTTTCAAGACTTCAGGAAGTGCCTTCCACTCTCCTGGCATTTCTCCCCTGCAGCTGGAAATCTCTAATCTGGACCTGCTCTCCCACCTGTACTGAGGTCAGGAGTTGCCCAGGTGGAAAGGGGGAATCCTGGCCTGATCACCTGGTGCTCCTGTTCCTCCTCTGTCTTCCCCCTCATTCCACAGTGCCCTCCAAGTTACTCCAGACTTTCTACCCCCTCCTTCTACTAGTGCTGCCTACTAGCTGAAGCTGGAGTTCCTCACATATCCTCCTGCCCTCCTGGCAAAGCCCCATCCTCATCCCTAGCCCAGTCTTTTCCTCTTCCCTCTTACATCAAGAGGCTGGAGTGGGGGAGTAACTCAGTTTTCTACCTCCTCTGAGACTCTCTTCCTCCTATTTGCACCAGCAGGGGATCAGCCTTTGCTCTCTAAGCATTCCCATCCCCCAGCATCTTTAATTCACCCTCTGCTGGGAGATACCCTTCTTTCTTTGAATCAACTTCTGGTCTTTCATCTGAAAACTTCCCTTAGGCCTGTCCACACTCTTCTTCTTTTATCCCTATTTGGGTAGTCTGCTGCCTGCTCTCAGCCTCTGGGTGCCTACCCCACATCATGCTAAGGAACCTGCACTGTGAGAGGCCCAGGGACCTCCCAGGCACATGCTGGCTTCCTTCCCATCCCAAGTGCTGGCTGCTCTGCCACTAGCACTGTTGACTCCCCACAGGGTGGTAGTAGTGGCGAGGCAGGCCTGCTGAGAACAGCTGTGCAGAGGAAGTCAGCTGTCCCGCCTCAGCTCTCAGGACTCCAGGCTGCTGGTGGTCTCCTCCTCCCCCTTCGTTTTGTTCTGCTTCCCTGTCCTTTGGTCTCAGAGTCCATGCACCCATGGCTTCAGCACTGACCTTCTTCATGTGATTCCTATGGCTATGTCTTAGCTCTGGGTCAATCTCCTTCAGGTTTTTGGTATCCACCTGCCAACATTACCTCTTCTGAATATCATGCGGTGATCTCCTTAGATGTATCAAAGCCAATATCATCTCCTCTTCCCTCCCCAAACCTCCATTATATTGTTTTCTTATATTTTAAAAAATATTATTTTATTTTATATATATATATATATTTTATTTTTAAAAAGTTTACTCATTTCTCTCAAAACTAAGAGATGGAGATAAAGACAGACAGCATCCACAACATGGTCTTCACACAATCCTCTCTCAGCTTCATCCAATCACAGATCAGGGAGGTCTCCAGACATGAACCCAGAACCTTCAAATATAGGTTAGCCTTGCAGGGCATGGCCACCTTTCCCGGGCTGGATTAGTTTCGATTTTGTAGCCACGTCTTTGTTTATTACTCATGTCTATGCCTCATCTCTTATCTCAGGCCATAAATCCCCTTCCCAAGTCCCATTGGAGGTCACCACCAGGCATCTACAGAGAGGGGCCTGGGAGGAACTGGATTGGGAGTCTAAGGGAGGTCAAAGTTCAAGGTGAGAGCAGAAAATTCTCTCTTTTATGGAATCAGCCAAGCTCTGAGGTCTCAAGAGACCTTGGGCCACTGAACACAAGTTAGGGGCAAGACCAGAGATCAGTTTCCTCTCTGCACAATGAGGGTGCCTGGTCCCTGGTCCACTGTCAGGCCCTTACCATGCAGCTGGGACCTAATGTCCCAGACGCCATCCTCCTCCTCGCCCACTCTCCTTTCCCCGACCCAATTTCCTCTGAACTCTTTTCAGACAAGAGTTCCCTGGACTGCAGGGCAGTGGTGCCTTTGAGCATGAGCATTTGGGTAGGGGGCTGGCCAGGTGGAAATAGCCCCTGGTGCATCACTCCCCTCTTCCTGGGCAGTCTTTGGCTTCTCCCCCTATTCCTCCTCCTCTGCTTGGGTTCCTTTCAGTGCTGAGACCCCTTCAGTGTCCTCCAATAACCCCCATATGAACCCAGGATCCCAGAGGGACCCCGGGTGTGTGGAGAGGTGTGAGGTCCACCCACCCGCACCTCTCGTACCCCAGTTTCTCCCTGACTCCACCTGGTCCAGCCTCCCAGGCAGTCCCCAGTAGGCCAGGGTTTATCTTTAGCCAAATACCAGGCTCTGGGGCTCTCAGGCTCCTCCTCCTGGGTCACCCACCATCAGCGTAGGCTGGGCTCCATGGCCCTGGGCAGCCGGGGCCCCATCCTGGTGCACAGTGAGCTGGGCTCAGCTCTGTCTGGTGCATTCAGGGTCCCTGCACCCTTTCACAGGTGATGAACCCAGACTACAGTCAACACACAGGCCCCTTGTTTCCAGAACAGGGTTTTTCTCCCAGCAGGGCCAGGGTCCTCCCCGCAACCTCTGCACATCCTGGGGTCAACCAACTACCACCTTCAGGGACCTCAGGAGCGGCCGGCCCAGTGACCAGAGAGCCCTGGGTGTGGGTTCTGGGATGCTGAGCCAAAGCTCCTCTGCCGTTTCTCTGCCTTACTGACCTCCCGGCAGCACATTCACTCACGCGCTGGTCATCCACTTGCCTTCACGGGTGGGCACTGCAGGAGTGGGCGGGGCAGAGAGGGTCTCTGCCCCAGGGAGGCCCGTGGGCTCCGAGACCTCAGAAACCTCAAGGTTGGGTCTGTGCCCCACTTGCCCACCAGCCCCTCCACTCCTGCCTACCTAGGAGACACAACTCACTTTGAGCAAGCCAGAGGGAACTTGGGGGGCGGCGGTGCTGGTGCTGGGTGGGGATGGGGGGAGGCTTGGCGCCCAGAGTAAGTCAGGAAGGGGCAGGGCAGTGGGGGTGGGGGCAGGGCCACCAACAGAGTGCACGGGGGTGGGGGTGGGGGTGGAGGGCTGGGGGTGGGGGGGGGGAGGGGTGGCAGGGTGAC